TTGTACCATGATGAGTTTTAATGGAAGAGTTGCCTAATTATTCGTAATTTATGGGATCTTTTCAACACCTCTCCGCCAAGCATGTAAAATGGATCATATGTTGATTGTTGGGTGATTAGGTCGGTCGATTTCTTCAGAACGCATATATAATAATTATACATGCTCAAGATTTGAATGTGTACAAACTAACAAGCTTTATGAAACTGATACACATAATAATTATACATATAATAATTATGCATTCGATTTCTTCACTCCATGATACAGCCCTTGGTCAAACACTCCCGAGCAGGATAGCGGTCAGCATCAGCTTGCCCGCTCCATGATAATCCTTGCGCTCCATGATGACTTCTTCCACAGACATGCCTATATTCCTTCCCTTCCTCAACGGGAGCACCTCTTCGAATTTCACATTAAAATTTTTTGAGCGGGGCCCATAACATTTTCTGGCAGCATGGAAAAGTACAGTTTTCTCGAGAACCTTAGAGGTTCTTTCGTCACTCCAGCCCTCAGTCATAGACAAGCCGTACAGTCTCTCCCAATCATCTTGACTTGCAGCATTTCTCCAGCACTCCCCCAAAATAATTGCGTAGCTTCTGAGATAGGACGCACTCATCCACAAGAATATATCGAAGGGTCGCAAAGAAAGCTCCCGCTTCTTTATTCTAAGACACATTTCGATGAGATCCAGCGGACCGGGGAGCTGCTGCACCATAATTTGCTTGAGCCCATCATCATCGTGTAGAAGCCTCATTATTTCTTCCTTTAAGAGTAAAAGACAACGTTAGTCCAGAGAAAATATTATTCCGAGTATTTGGATCAAGTGATTAGGCATGTTATCAAATATGAGAAACAATATAGATAACCTACATCCCGGCATATTGGTCTCGCCAATTTTTTTTTTTTTCCATGTCAGTTAACAAAACAAACATGCGAATTGGACTAAATACCTGTACTTGTAGAAAATTCAGATCAGCTTCAATACGCTTCACCTTTAGCTCGTCACCAACTTCTCTTCGTGACAAATTCACAGATTGGTATCACCATTTCAGGTGCAAACAACATTGTAAAAAATGATAAAGGACACCAAAAATATAAGTATTACATCTACGGTCCACCACAAATTTTGGACATCTTAAATTTCCTCTAGGGCATTGGATTATATGATTAAAGGAAACCCTAAATACCCTATTCGATACTTCGTTTTGGGGGGGCACAATTCTTAATATAGATCACACAGCTAAAGAGCAATCACAATTGTAACGCCCCGTATTTTATTAATAAAGGAAAATACTAGCTTTTAGTTTTAAGCTAGCCTTTGTTAATAAATAATCATGTTCAAGTTCAGGTCAATCAGTTAGTCATATTCCAAGTTCGACTATTAGTCGATATATGTTATTCGGTTTAATTATTTCAGTAAACCGGATAAGTTTCCAAATTTAATTCCGATTCATTTATTAATTAATGAGTTCAGAATTAATAAGTTAAGTTGACGAATTATCCGAAATGTCGATATTCGGATTAATCGTCTAAGTCATGGATATTCAAATTAATTTTCGAAGTCACGTTCACGTTCGGATTTATTTTGGTATTTAAGCACCAAGTTAATCAAATAAATCATGTTTTTAGTTTCAATACAATAATATTGTCGAGTATTATTTTTCGGAATTAATATTTTCAGTCGATATTACCTGAAATTATTTGCGACGTCCTGTTTACGTCCGGAATAATTTTGGTAATTAAGTATTATGCTTAATTATTTAATTAAGCATTTAATTATGATTAATTAGTAATTAATCACAATTAGGGAGTGAAAGCCGTACGGAATTGTCCCAAATTATGTCATTACCGTAAGTTTTCTTCAAGTTTGGGAAATCAAATATTTCCCTCTTCATTAAGTCTTGAACGTGTCACCTTATGAGAAAATTGGGGATGATTCATCATTTTACAACCTATGGGAGTTTAGCAAGTGTTAGGCCTTGGTTAAGACATCAAAGCAACACATCATTCCTAAATATTTTTCCTCACTTTCGGTTAGTATAAAAAGAAGGAATTGGGATGAAAATTTCCCCACTTTTCAGCACTTCATGTTCCTCCCAAATATTTACTAAGTTCAGCAAGAGATAGGTGAACAAGTTGCCTTAGTTCTTTCGTACCACACCCATGGCAAACCACTACCGTACCGCACGCACCACACACGCAAGGAGCAATCGAGCACGCACGGAGGTGTGATCAGTTGAGGGTTGTGAAGTTTGATCAGGCATCAGCACTACCTTCAGTTTCAGCAAATCAGGTGGGGACTCAGACTAAGTACTACATTGATTATAATTACGCTACCATGTTTGAGGTATGTATTATCAGTATCCGCTCGGAATGGTCGCCGGTCCATTCTTGGTCTAGTGGCCTAATCTGCCCACTAGAGTGTGCACATGGTGTCCGGTATTAGTTTGTGCCGGCAGATTCCGACATTAGTTTGTGCCGACAGATGTTCAGTTATCAGTTACGTGACTTACGTCGCGAGATCAGACCGATATCAGATATCAGTTTCAGTTTCAGTTTCAGTTCGGTTATATATGCCAGGATCATGATATTGCTATTATTTTCAATGTTTACATGAGTATGAGTTTCTGCGGAGCACAAGTGTTTTAGTGCTCACGCCCCCACGTATTTCATGTTTTTCAGGTCGCAGGGTCGGGGACGAGGAGTGAGCTGGCGGGCTGCTCAGGATATTTGTGATATATGTATATATATGTTTTTCCACGCTGTTATTCCGCTAAAACTTTCAGTACTTAAACTCAGTTTTTTATCCGACGCTAGTCGGTTAATATATTATAACCGTTTTCATTGTCAGTTTAAAATTTAACGGTTTTCAGAAAAGTCAAGTTTTCACGGTAGCATCCCGAATCAGTTTTCGCAAAATTAATATTTTATTTATTTATTCAGAAAAATTGCGAAAAACGCGTACTCTAATTTCAGTAAAAAGTCGGGGTGTTACAAATGGTATCAGAGCACGTTTCTGCGTCTCTGACCCGTCACGCTCACGCCTTGCCGACTACAGGTAAGTGCTGATTTATGTTTTCAGTTATAAACAAATTACTATGTCTATGCTCAGAAATACCTCAGTTATGACTTTGTTAAGATGCTCGAATCAGGATCAGACTTTAGAATTCAGTATATTCAGATATGACTCTAGAATTCAGTATTTTCCGATATGACTCTAGAGTTCCTCAGGATTCATGTCAGTATTTATCGGCCATTTTTGGAAACTCGTCAAGAGATTGGTGTGCCTTAGTAATCAGTCAGAGTATTTTATCATGTGTTCAATAATGGTGAACTTTCTTAATGATCAGGTACCGCCCATAGAGAACCCGATCACCCGGTTTTTCCCCCAGGCCATGGTAGTCGCACAGTTTTGCGACTATCATTCTGAGAAATTTTCCGGGCAGGGAGATCCTCGTATCGTGGACGAGTGGATTCAGAACCTTAGAAGGGGATTAGGTTTGAGAACTCTAGATTTAATTCTAGATTTATTCAAATCAAGTTAGCAACTTGTCAGGAGATTTGTAAGCACTTGTGCTAAACAAATCTTAATAATCATGTTTCTCAGATATTTTCTATTGAAAATTGCCATTTTGCCAATCAATTGGCAGACTTTTGGAAAGAATTCCTTGATTCAATTCGAGGAATAGACTCAAATTTCCTAAGTCAGATCAGTAAATCATTTTCAAGGCTAAAAGTTTCATGTTAAAGGTTGTTATAATTTTCAAGTCATTGTCAAGGTAACGGTTTCCAGTGTATAAGAGTCAATAGTCCGGGTTACCATGGAGGCTTGAAATAAGAGCCACTCAGCCGAGTATACCATGGAGGCTTGAAGCTGGGACTGGAGCAGTATGATTTCATGTAATAACAACCTTAAAGCCAGTCATGTTATGTATTTTATCAGTCATGATACTTCAAGTTAAGGTTTTCAAAGATAAAGATCAGCAAATTACTTTGTACTTGCGGGACCAGTTGATACTGGAGTAGCCCCATACAGTACAGAGTTATAAATTCATGTTCATGATTTACAGTCTATATTCATGATGTAAGGTCGACGTATAATAGTTGTTAAGCCGGGTTAAATGTGGCGGCCTGATATACAGACCATTAGTCCAAATTTACCTGGAAACTTGAAGTCGCACCTTATCAAGTTAAGTGAATCAATAAATGTCATGTTCCAAATTCCGAAGCGACTATTAAGTTGTCTCGGGGTAGCTTTCAGCGTTCAGACAAATATGATCCAGTCATGTCAAGTCACGGTTATCCAGTTATGAGAATATTCAGGCAAGTTATGCCAAAGTCAAAGATAGCTTGTCTAATAAGACAAGACGTATCAGTCATTTCAGGTATAATCAGTGCCTCGATTCTCAAATTTTGAAAATTTGGGAAATCGTAGGAAAGATTAGTTCACGATAGAATTTTCTTGAGGTTAAGTTAAACCTCAGGGAAGGTAAAGATTTGCAGGTACAACGCGAGGAAGAAGCGCCAAACGACAGCAACAGACCATGCCATGATGACCAACTGACGCTTCCCATTCAAAGACGCATGACACAAGAAAGAAAGGATGTCATGTCCAAGATACAATACACAGGAGATTACAGAGAGTTAGCATTCTAGTACATTGAGGTTACTAGCTTAAGGTACAGATACGATCAGACTACATCGACGACGCAGGTGCAATGTTCGCCAGGTGTTGTATGCAGGTGTGCCGCACTCACTTGATGAGGAGCAGGTGTGACGCATTACAATGTGCCGCGAACAATGTGCCGCGTTGTCGAGCAGACGTTCATGAAAGGTAATTACCAATATAGCTAGTTATCCTCATTGCGTATCTCTGGAATTTTCCGTGTGTACCAACGACTGGAGTTTTTACAACCAGCATTCAGACTGGAGATCAGCAGGCAGCCAGGAGATGATGACCAGTACGCTCCAGAATTTCGTTTTAAGATCATGTCTTATTAGTGGAACACTTTATTTCCGAAAAATGTCCGTTCTTAGTCAGCAGTATTCTACAATTCACTTCATTGTGAATTGATGTATCTTCAGTTCATATCAAGTCTATTATTCAGTATTAAAGTACTGAATTCTCAAGTCATATAATCAGTAAGTATAAGCTTTAGGTTATGCTTGTATATTCCGATTTTAGTATTTCCGAGGACGGAAATATTTTAAGGGGGGTGGATTGTAACGCCCCGTATTTTATTAATAAAGGAAAATACTAACTTTTAGTTTTAAGCTAGCCTTTGTTAATAAATAATCATGTTCAAGTTCATGTCAAGCAGTTAGTCATATTCCAAGTTCGACTATTAGTCGATTTATGTTATTCGGTTTAATTATTTCAGTAAACCGGATAAGTTTCCAGATTTAATTCCGATTCGTTTATTAATTAATGAGTTCGGAATTAATAAGTTAAGTTGACGAATTATCCGAAATGGCGATATTCGGATTAATCGTCTAAGTCATGGATATTCGAATTAATTTTCGAAGTCACGTTCACGTTCGGATTTATTTTGGTATTTAAGCACCAAGTTAATCAAATAAATCATGTTTTTAGTTCCGATATAATAATATTGTTGAGTATTATTTTTCGGAATTAATATTTTCAGTCGATATTACCCGAAATTATTTGCGATGTCCCGTTTACGTTCAGAATAATTTTGGTAATTAAGTATTATGCTTAATTATTTAATTAAGTATTTAATTGTGATTAATTAGTAATTAATCACAATTAGGGAGTGAAAGCCGTACGGAATTGTCCGAAATTATGTCATTACCGTAAGTTTTCTTCAAGTTTGGGAAATCAAATATTTCTCTCTTCATTAAGTCTTGAACGTGTCACCTTATGAGAAAATTGGGGATGATTCATCATTTTACAACCTATGGGAGTTTAGCAAGTGTTAGGCCTTGGTTAAGACATCAAAGCAACACATCATTCCTAAATATTTTTCCTCACTTTCGGTTAGTATAAAAAGAAGGAATTGGGATGAAAATTTCCCCACTTTTCAGCACTTCATGTTCCTCCCAAATATTTACTAAGTTCAGCAAGAGATAGGTGAACAAGTTGCCTTAGTTCTTTCGTACCACACGCATGGCAAACCACTACCGTACCGCACGCACCACACACGCAAGGAGCAATCGAGCACGCACGGAGGTGTGATCAGTTGAGGGTCGTGAAGTTTGATCAGGCATCAGCACTACCTTCAGTTTCAGCAGATCAGGTGGGGACTCAGACTAAGTACTACATTGATTATAATTACGCTACCATGTTTGAGGTATGTATTATCAGTATCCGCTCGGAATGGTCACCGGTCTATTCTGGGTTCTAGTGGCCTAATCTGCCCACTAGAGTGTGCACATGGTGTTCGGTATTAGTTTGTGCCGACAGATTCCGACATTAGTTTGTGCCGACAGATGTTTAGTTATCAGTTACGTGACTTATGTCGCGAGATCAGACCGGTATCAGATATCAGTTTCAGTTTCAATTTCAGTTCAGTTATATATGTCAGGATCATGATATTGTTATTATTTTCAATGTTTACATTAGTATGAGTTTCTGCGGAGCACAAGTGTTTGAGTGCTCACGCCCCCACGTATTTCATGTTTTTCAGGTCGCGGGGTCGGGGACGAGGAGTGAGCTGGCGGGCTGTTCAGGATATTTGTGATATATGTATATATATGTTTTCTCACGCTGTTATTCCGCTAAAACTTTCAGTACTTAAACTCAGTTTTTGATCCGACGCTAGTCAGTTAATATATTATAACCGTTTTCATTGTCAGTTTAAAATTTAACAGTTTACAGAAAAGTCAAGTTTTCACGGTAGCATCCCGAATCAGTTTTCGCAAAATTAATATTTTATTTATTTATTCAGAAAAATTGCGAAAAACGCGTACTCTGATTTCAGTAAAAAGTCGGGGTGTTACAACAATCATAAGAATTTGTAGCATATTACCTGCCATAGCTGATGGTTTTGCGAGATTCAAAAAATGCTTTCTCCTAGCCAAAGTTAATTTAGGTTGTGGGCCACTAGGTTCAGTCTCATCAGTATCTGAAACTGATCTATTATCCTTAGGAAGAGATAAATTAGATAATGCATGTAAAGTTTCAGAAGCTGAGGAAAATTGACGAAGAAACAACTCGTGAAGCCAAAGAAGATCGGGATGCTGCCTCAGAATTGTAGCAAGCTCGTCAAGAAACTCTTCACCCGGCCGCATTAGTTTTGAGAATTGTCTGCTATCATAGAGTTGTTTGAATACAAAGCAACTGAAACCTCCTTTTGGTCCGATGTTTTCATGCTGCAAAACAGAAGTTCAATATCAAAAAAAAAAAAAAAAAAAAA